CATTAGTCATTACACGTAATAATGCTCAGAGCAGTGCCTGGCACGTAGCAAGTGCTATGTAAGTGTTAGCTATTACTGTTATTATTGTTTTCATTATTGTCACTGCCCGGGCAGCTTAGGCAGAACGACTGAGTCAGTTCTTTTTTAAGTAGGGGGACTCCTTTCATACAGAAACAGATCACAGACCCATAATCTCTACATGCAGGTTGAGCAGATAAATGACAAAATGTTGCTGTGAATTCAAGCAACAGTATCTCGACACAGTGAAGTCATTCTCTCTATTCAGCGTGAAGACAATGCCTGGCTTCCCTCCCTGTGGATTTGCAGACCCCTGAGATCAATCTGAGCCTTGCTCCCGCCCCTCTCAAAGCTGAGCCCTGCCGGGTACGACCCACTGCTCCGGTTACACCAAGCTGCCTTCACTGCCTCAACGTGCCACCAGTCTTCCCACCGTCATTCCACACACTGTTCCCTCTGCCTCGGGTGCCCTCTCCCCTCTGTCTGGAGCGTGGAACCCTGAATGCTAAGAAATCATCTTAACCCCCTGGATGGCGCGTTCCCTGGAGTTGGTCAGTGAGGAACCTGAGCGTTAGCAAACCAGCCGCCGAAGCGCACTGCTAACCACAGTAGCAACAGTGAACGGGTATGGCTTTAAAGAATCAGGTAGAATCAGGGAAAGTCAGGCCGGGACGAGTGAGAGGGGGCTGTTTCAGCAGAGGTCACGTGGCTGGATGAGACGTCTGTGGGAGCCACAGCCAGACCCTCAGGAGCATGAGCAATGCCAGCGGGCACCCAGGAGGGCAGACCCGCCAGGCAGGGCCCCCAGGCACTGATCGAGCCAGGAGAGAAAGACCCAACTGACACCAGCCCCAGGCTCGACAGCAGGGTACCCCAGGGTCACACCAGGGGTCACTAGGGATCCAGCTGCCCACCCACGAGGCAGCACCGGAGAGGATGGGGAAGGTCCCCCCTGCCAGGGAAGCCTCTGCCAGGGGCCAGGGCCCACGCCACTCACCAATCCCCCCGGCTGTCCTGCTGAGGAGCAGGGAGGCGGTGCAGAGAGGCAGCCTTTTCTCCGAGATACGCCGAACAGCTAACTAAAGGGACTTTTAAACTTGCTCGATTCGAATGACTTTACTGGAGTCGACTAAAAATATGGGGCTTCTCCCCCCTCCTTCTGGCTGCCCGGCAGGAGGCAGGCCTACGCGGAGCAAACAACAGACGGCTGGGAGGAAACCAAGACGCCGTACGCGCGAGTGGCGCGAGTTTAACTTCAGCAGCCCTCTGCAGCTCGTCTGAAGACGGCACAACTGTTCACTGCCCTGTAACTGGAAGAACTCAGTTTCATGGATTCACGTTCCCAGGCTCGGCTGTTCGGAGCCCCCATGCCTACCGATCCCGGCGGCTGAGTTGAAATGGCGAAGCCTCCCTGCAGCCAAAATTCTCCGAGGAGTCGCAGTGCTGGAGAGAAACGCCCATTAGTCCTGAAGGGATTACTGGGCCGCCTCTCCCCTCATTGTTCCTACCC